ACCTCTCGAGGTCCCTTCCAGTCCTAGAATCTATGAATCTATGAATAATACAGAGACACCTATGATAGTCTTAAGAATTAAGTTTGTTATAATTCTTACACTCACATTCACATTGTAATCAGAAAGTGCAATCTGAAAAGCACCAGATAACATTCCTTTCATAGGCCTTTGCAAAACCTGAATTGTCTTAACAGTGAAATTCTCAAAGTATAGTGAAACTCGGAGACCAGATACTCCTGGGGAATATGAAAGAAGTGGAGGAAAGATCAGGGAAAAGAGAATTCTGAGTTATGGAAGAAGCTTAATATGTGAGTAATAGAGGGCCTGATACTGCTCCCACTAAAGCAAATGAAAGTTTATCATTGAATTAAATCGGGGAGGCACTGGATCGTTCAGCTGCATAAATGGAGTTTTGGTTTATAGTTCCATGAATTATAAAATACTATGTAATTCCAAATGTATAATCATTAAGGGCCTGTTCCAAAAGCCCATTTATGTTTATGAGAGTATTTCCACTGGCTTCAATGAACTTTAGAAGACCCTAAAACTATTGTTCCATTTGTGGCTCTGGTAATCAAACCAAATCATAAAAACCATGAGAACTTCAGATCCATTACTGGTTAACAACTCCATTATGTTGTCTCCTGGAAGTAACATTCATTCACCCAGTTACAATGAAGTAACCTAAAGCATCTGCTAAAACACTGGAGCTACCCAACATTGCTGGAGTGCCTAAGCACTTACCAAATAGTGAAGGAGCATTAGAATAGCTTCGTTATTGACTGAGTGAGCACTGCACCCTATTGAATCAATAAAAATTTACTTAGAATGAATTTACTCTGGAGTCTCTTTAAAAGCCTAAGTGCCAATTATAACCTGGTTTTTTTGTTATTACCTTCTCAATTGCCTCTAAGATCTGTCTCAACTTTCGTCAATTAGATACCATCAGAATTGTTTAAAATTGGTGCTCTGTGTGTCAAGTTGCTGCTGCATGCATTGCACCAGAGATGGTGCGCATAGAGAAAGGCCACACTACTGTTTTACCACAGTCCTGTTTATTTTTAAAATAAAATGTTTTAGAGCCTTATTTATTATTGTAAATTTATTTTAAAGTATGTCTTCTAAATCTCAGGACGTCTTGAATATTTAAGAAGCACCGACTTTGCAGATTCTCTGAATAGTATCAATACAAAAGGAAGAAAAAACATGATAATTTCCAAAACCATATTTATATTTTAGCAATCTGCTGAGATCTAGAGCAAGCAGGGGCAAAAGCGGAACATATCTAACACTTTTGTTCTGATTCTTTACACCACCCTCAAGCTAAGATGTTCCACATAAATTTTCTTTTTTCCCTTAACATTTATATCAGTTGCTTAGTCTGACAATAATTCATCATTGTTATTAGCATTTTTCTGGATTTATTTTGAATTGTGCAGGAAAGGAAGCATATCGACTAAATCAAAGGTAAAAAATCATCATCATTCATCACAGTTTTGGTGAAAATCTGACACACACTTTACCTGATCACGCTCTTGAAGTGATGGATAGTGTTGAGTACAAATTTCAGTTTGAAAAACACTTTCAATCCATATTTTTTTTTGAAAATTCACCTTCACTCCATAATTAACATTAGCTATGTACTATGAAACCCCAGAAAGAATAAGAAATTCATCAATACATTCAAAATTCCAAATATTAGCAATCATAATTTTTCAGATGCTTTCTCTCCTATCAAAGTAATAACATTTACAAAAGAGTAGTATATTTAACATGTTTCAGTTTAGGTGCTTTTGTATTTAATAAAGCTCAGCAAATAATCTGTAATGGATGATTTATTTTAACTATTTCATCTGACAAATTATCTCCAAGGAGCACATGATTCACTCACATTTATTAACTGATTAATTTTGGTGAATTCTTTTGACATAAGATTGATCTTGAGCTTTCATTGCAAATATTTGGCATTCAAAATTGGAGCTGTGGAGTTTCATTTTCATTGGGCAATAGGTCACATGGTATTTCTCTGTACTCTTACTGGCTTACAATACCCTAGGAATCCAGTATCTCATGAAAATACTCACATTTTCAAATTCAATCTCTCTGAATATTTTCCTACATTCACTTAATATCATGCTGTTGACATGAATAATACTGCCACTAAATTTGTTCATTAGAATACTTTTGGAAAATGAACACTAAAGGGGCAGTAATATAGTCAAAGCAAATTTGTTATAAAATGTGAACAAACATTCTGAGACTACTCGGCATATACTCATTTATTGCTCCATCTTGTATTATCTTCTCAATATTAGCATTTAAATACACAATCATTTGTAATTAAATTAAGAGATGTGAAAAATAAAACTGCCTTACTTAACTGAGTAACAGTACTTAATTATCTGGAAAATTCAGAATCAAAAACTGTTAATATCAGCCTTTCTAATGCTTACATTTCTTCTTCACGTATTCTGGAGAATTAGATAATATGTGGATTTAATTCTCAATTTGGACCTTTATTCATATACACATAAGAATAACTGTAATATAATGATTATTGAAATTAAAATAATTTTACCTCATCACCTTTCTCTCCAGAAAGTCCAGGAAATCCACGTTCACCTTTGCTTCCCTATAAAGACATAACTTTTGAACTATTACTGTATTTTATTACGGTTATGAAAACGTATGTACTGTAGTATGTTTCATTTTAAATATGCTAGTATGGAGCTTATGGGTTAGCAGTAAGGGACCATAAAACAAACAAAGAGCCAAATTCCACCCCGGCACAGGTCCCACTAAGGTCAATAAACATTATGCCTACTTCTTATGTGGTTGAATTTGGCCCAAAAGACTAAGGCTGAGTTCAAAGTTAGCTTGATAAACTACAATTAGCTTACAGAGGGCATGGATCAGTGTTCATGTTGCGCTCCCCATCAGTAATTGCCCGGGCTGGGGAAGCTAATGATTCAACCAGCGGACCAAATTCAGTGATGAATCCTGGTCACGTGCCATCTGAGGCACGTTGCGCATACACTACGCAGAAGGTTAGGTTAGAACTCTTTTCAAAGGAGAATGTATACTTTTAAATGATTATTATTGGATTTTGCTCTAAGTGGTTTAGGTGTCAAAACCTGCGATCTTCAGTAATTCTTCAGTAAGGCACAACTCCTAATGACTTCAATACAAGTTTAGAATATGACCCTCTGAAATCAATGAGACTATTCACATGAGTAACAATATGTAAGTACTCAGGATGGTCCAGTGATTATGGTGCTACCCTGAGAATTGGGAGATTCCCTGCTTCACCACAGACTTCCTGCATAGCCTTGGGTAACTCGCTCAGTCCTCTGTGCCTTAGTTCCTCATCGGTAAAATGGGAATGAATCACAGCACTTTGTAGCATAGGGGTGTTGTGAGAATAAATACACTAAAGATTATGAGGTTCTGAGATACTACAGTAGTGAGGGCCTTATAAATATATAAGATAGACCCGGGTAGGCAACCTATGGCACGTGTGCTGAAGGCGGCACGCGAGCTGATTTTCAGTGGCACTCACACTGCCCGGGTCCTGGCCACCGGTCCGGGGGGCTCTGCATTTTAATTTAATTTTAAATGAAGCTTCTTAAACATTTTAAAAACCTTATTTACTTTACACACAACAATAGTTTAGTTATATATTATAGACTTATAGAACGGGACCTTCTAAAAACGTTAAAATGTATGACTGGCACGTGAAACCTTAAATCAGAGTGAAAAATGAAAACTCAGCACACCACTTCTGAAAGGTTGCTGACCCCTGAGATAGACAAATAGGATTTGGCCCTGCATTTTTAATGGTTAAAAAAAAGTTATCTAAAGTACTCACTTAATAAACTTACCTTTGGCCCCTCCCTACCAGGGATTCCTGGAGGACCTCTCGGCCCAGTATCACCCTGGAAAACAGAGGAAAATAAAATGATGGGAAGTACTTTAGCAAAAGAAACAGTGGATCATATGAATATATAGTCACACTCATAATCTTGGCTTTCTGCCTTTGTGACCATCCCTGTTAGGAAAGCCTGCTACTCCCTTTTCTCCTTTTATGCCTATTAATCCAGGAACACAAGCCTGGAAGTTGCTACAAACATTTTGTTGGAAATACATAGAATTGTGGTGATTAACCTTTCTACAGAGACATTAAATAAATCAAGAACACAGCAGATGCTGGGGGTTTTATTATTTTAAATCTTCCAGTGGTGTAATTTTAGTGATAATATATTAAATGTGAATGAAACAGAAAATGGTGCATGATCTCCCTGGTTTCTTGGCTCTAGATTTTGAGGCGAGGCAGAAGTTGCACTTTTGGAAAATATGAGATTCCCTGAAGCAATGCACTGGGAGTGTCCGTCACTCACCAGGATTGCCTCCTGGCACAACAGGCAATGTACACACAGAATGTTTTTTTTGGAAAAGGTTTTTTTTTATTTTTTTTTTAAACTACAACACCTAAAACTACTACAAAGTACTAACTACTACTAAGAACAATTATAATAAACTAACTACTAAAAGAGCTAAGGGGACACAGTTGAGGTAAAATAACGTGGACAACTGTTAAGGCCGCTTCAGCCTGAGGCAGTTGAGATGGAACTGAGAGCAGTTCGCCCGTGCATGGATATATAACACCAGCACTGAGTAACATGCATCTGTGGGCTGAACAGACATTTCTATGAGAAATCTCCGATCAAAGGCGCAGGGGATGCAAGAACACCTAGAGTGAAGGAACTAGAGTGTTCATAGGGACCTTACTCGAAGAAGAACAAGTAGATTTGTTTTTAGACAAAAGAGAGGCTTGAGTGGTTTAATGAAAAGCAAGAGGTGGACCCAGGCTTCAAAGTAAGGATCTGGATCAGGATCCAAATTTTTCCGATGGCAGACATGACAGGTCTTTTACTGTCTCTGAAATGTCTTACACCCTTAACTTTGGTGATCTACAGTATACAGTAAAACATAACCTTGGTTTTAGGAAAAGCTGACTTATGAAAACATGCCAATATCTATTTTGCTTTGAACAACCCATTCATATTAGTGGAAAGACTTCCTCCTGTACCAATATACTACCTTCAATGAAGCACCCACGTCTCCCAAAAGTGGAAGTGCAATCTGAAATAAAACACATGCATACACTTAAGAAATATTTAATATACTGTATATATCCCACATCTTTAAATATTTGGTCCATGGTTTCCATATGTATTAATGGTATCAAAAAAGTTTACATAATTATGCAAATGAGTCATGATTAAAGCTGTTTTATCATGATATTTTTAAGGAAAAATAAAAAGTATTTATGATGAAAAGTGCAAGAGTCAATATTGAAATATATTTTTAAAATGTTAATGCTTTCTACCCAAGGTAGTTCTTTGTTCCCTATTGTAGTGAACTAGCTAGAACTGTGTTTGTACTATGAAAACAGTCAACGCACTGAAACATAGTAGCTCCACTCTAGAGTGTACTTTTCTGAAACTCAACTTAGCCCCCCAAAATGTTTAACAGTCTTTTTTTTATTTCTGCAGGAAGAGGGAGAAATCTCATCACCCCTGGAAAATTAAAGCCCTTGCAGATAGTTCTTTGATCTGGTCTTCTGTGTAGCAGTACTGTTTTCCTCCTGTCTTCCCTTAGTTTTCCAAGTGCCAGGTTTAATTTTGTATCTCTCAAGGTTGTCCATGAGACTGACTGAGCTGTTGCTGTTACCTCCACCCACCCAGCTCCAAGAAATGAATCCTCACATGTCAAAATGTAGGGATTTTTTTGTAAATCATGAAAATCACAAGCTAAATTACTCCTGTGATTGCTGGGAAAAAAACCAGCCTTGGTCATGATATACAGTTAGATACACTGACAAATCTGGTGTGTACTTGTCTTCAATTTAACCAGTTTCAAATGTTAACATTTTTAAAGCTTTAAGGGTCCTGTCCACACCAGGAAAGCAAAAGTGTCGAACCTTAGCCTTCAGTACATTAGGAAAATTGCCCTTTGCTGACAACAGATGTCAGCAACCTGTGCAGTGGAACCACCGCTGAACATGATTTAATAGCTAACATAGAGAAGGACATACCACATTCAGCATGGTTTCACAAACCTTGAAAAATCTGCCAGGAAAGTTCTTAGAGAAGGACTAGTCTACATGGCAGGGTTTAAACACTCACCGAGAGGGATGTTCATTTGAGAAGAGGTTGAATTCACACTTTTGTAAGCAGCAGCGATTTGGCTGAAAGACACCATAAGGTTTCCCAGCACTGGAGCTTGGTGTTTGGGATAGCCATGTCTTTTTATTTTCTTTTTATATATGTCATGTCTCAAATAAAAACTAAGATGGTATTTAGGATTTAAACAATTTCCTACACTTAAGGAGTTACCACTGCATCTCACCTGTTATCTGAAACTAAGCCTTTTTAAAAATCTGGTTATATGGTAGCAGGCTTTGGCCCAAACCACTTAGGAAAGGCCAAAGGACCAAAGTGAAGTTAACAAGTGACTAAAGGGTTTCACTTTGCTGAGCAACAGGTCCCAAGAGCTGCTCTAGGAATTCTGAGAGTTTTATTTACCTTTTTTGATGCCTCTGTCAGCATTTGTTTTAAAATAAAAATTAAGCTTGTAAAGTTTCAACTTTGGGGAACATGTTAAAGGATCTAAACTCGTTTCAGGTGTCTGTTCATCTTAGCCATTTAATTCTTTCGTTAGTACTCGAGAAAATTAGTTCACATTATGGGCTAATTATTTTCAAAATGTCATTAATAATATAATAGCTTTTTAAATGTGTCAGAGCAATGCAATTTTTCCCATAGTCTGCTAATTTAAGAAGAACCAAACTATAGTCTTTGAAAATTTATACAGAACTGCTCCTGGGGCTGAGACATGGTAAGCCAAGTTGCAGCCTGGAACAAACTATTAAAGCTAAAGCATAACCTCCTGAAAACAGACATTTATCATGAAAGTGCTCACATAACAATAACATTAATGATATTGTTATGAGCTAAATGAAAAAAAATCACTAGGCAGTCAACTGAATACAACAGGGATCGGCAACCTTTGGCATGCGGCCCGCCAGGGTAAGCACCCTGGCAGGCCGGGCAGTTTGTTTACCTGCCGCGTCCGCAGGTTCGGCCGCTAGCGGCTCCCACTGGCCGCGGTTCACCGCTCCAGGCCAATGGGGGCTGCGGAGGCTGGCCCTGGTGGGCCATGGGCCAAAGGTTGCCGATCCCTGGAATACAATTTGCTAGGCCTACTAGGCATCTGGTGTCTTTCTGTTTTAAAATACTAGCATCCTCACAATGTAAGTCAAGCATAGTTTGTATACATACTGGGTCACCTGGAGGACCAGGAAGTCCTGGCTTCCCATCTGGTCCTGGACTACCCTAGAAACAGAAACAAGGCCATTGCATTTTAAATTTCAGTCATTGATAAGGGGCACATACATCAATATAGTGTTATATAAAGAACTGTTACTTACATCAGCACCCGGGGTACCTGGAGTTCCAGGTAATCCAGGGGGTCCTCTAGGGCCCTAATATACAGAACAGTTACTTAAGATATAATTCAAGAAACTGGAAAACCTGTTAAGTTAAATTCATTTTTCCAAATTATACAATAAGTATTTTACCTGGGCACCTGGTTCCCCAAATGGACCTTTAGGACCCTGTAAAAATAGCCAAATGTAGACTCAGATAACAGCAGCAATGCTTTTAAAACAGGGGTGATCTTGAACCAAAAATACTGACTGTGGGCTTTTGGTTCAGCGCATCTTAGAGAATGGAACCTGCTGAAATGTCAGGTTACAAATCTGGACCCAATTTTGCTAAAGTTCAAGGGTGATCAGATCCAGTATTTTGGTTAAGAACCATTTCACATGGAAAGTAAGGCCACTGACTAATGACACAGTTATGTTATTATGAAATGGACTGGTCAGTTAGCTTGAGATTTACAGGGAAAACTGAAATTAATGCAATGCAATAGGCAAAAGCATCACAAATTGTAGGATGCCTAAGAATCAATGTAAAAATGTAAAAATTTAAATAACATTAATTTGTTTTTTAAATTATTAGACTTGTTTAAAACTTATATTTGAATCTATAGCCATCTGTCTCAAGCATTATGATTTCTATAACGTGAAAAGTTCAGTTTAATATGTTGGATTGGACTGACAGGATATTGCCATTTTCATCGCAGTAGAATTCATGAGCATGACCTGTGTCATCTACCTCCTATATTATTGAACACTATCAAGACAACTAGACAAAGAAAGATTATCGCTTGGATTATGAAACAACTGCTGGCATTCTCTAAAACTCAGTCCTTTTAAGGCCAAATCTTTTCCCAACTTCCCAGGTTGCAGAGGGTTCCATGGCTTATGGAGGGGCAGTATTCTGGGGGAGCACACTGGGGTCCTGATCACCATAGAGCTGTGCTCTATTGGGGCTCACACAATAATGAGGATGTTTGAGTAAGTTAAGAATGGTGGACACGTAACTATGTAAATGCAGAAGGAAAAATCCCTCACCTGGTGAATATGGGCAGCAACCCCATGGAATCCACTGCAGTCTCTTGAGGGAGAAATCTATCTTCCAGTCCACACTATTACAGATTGTCTCTGTACAACACCTCTTTACACAGGCTTGGCAAAGGATCTGCTACTTGGTATTGCAACCTTGGAAAACTTTAGGGCCCTTAACGTTTTAAGTTAGCAGTGAATGCTGGGAGAAAATAGTATAGGTTGCTGTAATGAAGTTTATAATTTCTGGAGCTAGCTACATTCTAAAGAAAAAACACTGATATTTTTCAATGTCTTACTTTTCAAAAATATGTTCTATTTACTTTGGGGGAATATCTGAAGAAGTTCTTGTAACCACTGATACTTCCAGAAATGGACTGGATGCTGAAGTAATAAGTGCAATAAAGATGCAGTGTTAGGAAGCAAGAATGAAATAGCATTTTGAACAGTGTGCTGCTGATGGCAAGAATGATGTAAAAGACCATACTACTGCAGCTATTTATTCTGATTACTCCAGATATAGTGTCCTTTGCTCATTTCATGTTTAAAATATACAGGTGGCAATTGGCCACAACTGGACTTTGTTGCTTGATGGGTCTGAAGCTTGTGCTGAGTTGTGCAGCTCTGGCTGGAGACTCTGCACCCACAATTCTCCAGTTCTGCACCCACAATTCACCCACAGTACTCCAATTCTAGTAATTCAGGCATGCCAACACTGAAGCCCTGGAGCTGCTGCCCAGCTGCCCAGCCTCACCTTTTCCTTCCCGAGGCAGAGTACCTGCCTCTGCCTCTCCCACGGTACAGGGCACGGGGGATGACACAGAGAAGGGGACTGTGGTTATTGACTGAGTGACAGCCAGGGATGCTGAATGGGGCTTAGTGTCTCTTCTCATGTGCAAGTGCTGGAAGCAGAAGGGGCAGACAAATTCAAAACAGCTGTCAGCCAGAAAAAGAACCTTCAGCTTTAAGATGTCCCAGAGCAATGTGCAATTAATGTGGGAGGGCACGGAGCACAGGCTCTTGCAAGTCTCCCATCCTCCGCTTATAAGTGAAGTTCTAGAGGGACTAACAGCAAGACCTAGACAGTAATATCATTTTCCGCTCTGTGAAAGGGGAAGAGGTGTTGGGTCAGGAATCACAAAGCAGCAGGGAACTCATATCAGGAATATCTAATCTGAAACATGTTATATGAACCTGATCATTACATAGATTTCTCAGTAATAACTAAAATGAAACTCTCATATACTGTTTGCTATACTTACAGGAGGTCCTTGAATTCCTATTCCGAGTGGCCCCAACTCTCCAGGGGACCCTTGTACGCCAGGCAGTCCTCTTTCACCCTGATAAGGTTACAAAACTTTCTGTTTCATCTTTAAAAGCAGAAATTAGTGTATCTCTTAGAAATAAGAACCGTGATAATTTTGTATACCTTAGGCCCTCGTGGACCTGGGGTTCCAGGAGTGCCAGCCAGACCCTAAAAAACAATAATTCTACCTTAAAATTGCAGAGTCTGATTGAATTTTATTGTCAGAGGTAGTCAGCATTTGTAAATAAAAATGATCTGTTTACATCTTGATTATTAGTGCCACAGTCTGTAGGATCATTGAAAAGACACTTGCATTAACAAGAGATTTTAGACTGTATTTTCTATGCACTTGCTTTACAGATATAACATACACTTTGTTTTCAAAATTATACTAGTATTGCTATACAAATCATTTTCAGTAGTGCTACAAGTGCTACATGGAAACAAGCAATGAAAGCCCTTGTAGCAAGTACTTACTGGTTTCCCAGGCAGACTTGGCCCAGGGGGTCCTGTCTCACCTCTTGGACCTGGATGTCCAGGAGGTCCTATAATTCCACCAGAATCACCCTGTGGAATAGATATAAACCACTAATTGAAATGTTAGTGTTTTCTTTCAGGAAAATTAACATTAAGGTAGGTCTGGGTTATCATGACTATTTTACATGGTAGATCTCTGTTACCTGTTATCTCTAGGTATTGGTAAACATTTTAAACAGCCCTATTTCAGAATGTACCACTGTACTTACATCAGCTTATTTGGGAATCAAACACATGACTCCAGTTTTATAAAACAAAACCAACTTTCTAAACATTATTTGTAATGCCAGCCAGGCTCTATACACTAAAGCAGGTGTTTGCTATACTGCTAGCAGAGATTTTTCACTGTAAATCAGATAGGCCAACACCTATTCTACAGGGTAGTGAGTCTTATGATAGGGTGTTTGGAAGTACTGACATGTCTTGACATCTGTTACATATGTTTAGATAACACATCTACAGCTTCTAATTTCTTAACAAAATATATATTTTCCCTAAAAAATGTTACATGGGTAAGTATGCAAGGTAAAAAAACAAAATAAAACATAGGAACATGGGATTTTCTATAGAGAAAAGACCAAGAGTCCATCTAATCTAGTTAATAACTCCGCTATTTTCCCAGTTACTCAGGCTTGCAATGCTGGTATCATATCTACACTTCTTTCTCCTTCATCCTCTAATACCCAGACTGCCTCTAAATCCTGCCAGTTATTCCACTGCAACATCTCCACAGTCGATCCCCTCCTCTCTATCCCTATTGCAAAAATCTGGGTCCGTGCCTTAGTTAATCCCTCATCTCAATTACTGACATTTCCTCTTCTCACCTTAAAGGCTCTGCTCGGCTGTACTCCTACCTACATCTCCCTTATCTTTCTCACTTTAACTCTACACTCTACGAACTCAGCACATCTCTGGCTAGCCCAACTCCTTCTTCCACAAGTGACTTTGTGCCTTTTCTCATGCTGCCCTTTTCACCTCAAATATCCCCCCAGATCATGTGTGTTGTGCAACCTTATACTTCTTCCTGTTCCACAAGACTAGCTTCTTTAGGTCTGTGCCCCAATGCTGACCTCTATTCATGCCTGCTCAACAGTTTGCACCCTCAAACTATTAATGTACTTCATTGGCTTTCTTTAAAACACAAACCCCAAGATGTATAAATGCAATAATTTATCTCAGAATTCACATCCTTCCCATATAATTCTCCCCCTCTCCCAGTACATGCAGGTATACACACACGCACACAATTAACTCTTGCTGTTCTGTAGTACTGGTATGTCCAACTACAGGCCTAATCCAACCCCCTTTTAAGTCAATGGGATTCTTTCAATTATTAAATTGAAATTGGATTGACACATTAGAAGGTAAACTCTTCAAACAAGAAGCATGTTTTTTATTTATTCTTAAAGTACCTAGATAGATGAATGTGGAAGGATGGAAGACTCCTTCAAGATTATAATATTTGACTAATATTGTCTAAATCATAAATTTAATTGATCAAATTTTAGTGCATACCTTTTCTCCTTTAATTCCTGGTTTTCCTGGTATCCCAGGCTCTCCCGGTAAACCCTAGTTAATTTAAAAAAACAACATTTTACATTGATTACAGCATCTTTCAGGTCAGTATGCTATCTGAGATTAAAGGTGAAAAAGGCACTTAATCTGGAGTAGTTACCGTACATTATAGGCCCAGCTAAGCTCCTCTTATTCATGCAAGTGAGAACTTCTTTAGGGGTATGCATATGTTATTTTGTTTAAATGAATATTTACTAATCAAAAATTGCCTTCTATACCCTTCTGGGCAGTACCTTCCTGAAAAAATTCAATTAAGAGATTTCTGGAAAAAAATATCAAAATAAACAAAAGTCATGAAAACTGACAGTGTTTAAAGGAAGATGGTAACAAGTAAAATGACTAGATTTAAAGGATTAGTTTGCCTTTTGCTACTGGGATATGATGTGCACGGTGTTGGGCACAACTTGCTTGATATTTTCTTTACTCTTAAAGCCTCAAGGAGCCTGTACATTTGATTAACTCCAAATCTCCTTTTTTTTTAAAAAAATGTTAGTTTTAAATATTCAAAAGACAACAATTAAAAATCTCAGCAAAATAATGGCATTCTGTCCCTCCTCCAGATATCTGCTTCCACATCAAAGCTTTGATTTTCATGTTTGTCCTTTCCCTCCTAATAATACAAGCAACTAGAGATGCAGAGACATGAAAGAATAATAAAATAAATTTAAAATGACCTAAGCATGCATAATTAGCTTAAACTCAAGTTCACTCTCTAACCCCACAAGATTTTCATTTACTTTATAGAAAAGTGTGATCTACATTTGTTCCAAAAGGAAGTATAGAGTTGTCATCTGCCTTAATACATTACATTACATTACATTTATTCCACGAAGTAGTGTATGCTTGTCCATCATGAACCTTAGGTAAGTTCCACAGCAAATGGTAGATCTATTCAAAGGCAAGAATTTCTAGTATTCATGCCCAATAATATGCAAATTCAAATGAAAATTAATTATCTTTGTCAAAAAGATCTTGAAAGGCATATCACTTGAACTTTTCTTTGCAGTGGGAAACATTTAATCTTGTTAGCACTTGCACGTAAAGAATGAATGAAATGTTCATGTCAGTAGGAAACATTCAATTGGCTGTGTTCTCCTTGCTTGATTGTATTCTGCCCTAAATGCAGACAAATTGTTTGTTTCATACATTCATACATTTCATACATTTCATACATCATTCATTTCAAAAGTATATCAAAAAACCTGAACTGTAGATGAGTGAAAGGTGTTCACTAGTTTCACAAATGGAAAATCATTACAAAAATATATAGGAGTTTAGATGTATTAACTATGAGCCAGAGTCTCTGCCCTGCTTCATTCCTGTTTAGAGTGACACAAAGGGGATTCAATCTGGCCCTCGCTGCCTTACTGGGGATTCCCCTGTGTAGATAAGTGATCTTCCCTTGCAGACTCTGGTGTACAAGCCATGTCAGAGGCAAGGAGAAAAAAATTCCAGAGTGAGTTAATCACAGCTGGTGAATGGTTTCTCGGGGAACAAGATTAAAGCAGCACCCACCTCCCCATGCATTGGGCAGAAAATCTGGGAGTCAGAACTAGCTTCACGACAGTCCTCTCTCCCAACTCTACTGTTCCAATCAAAGACTAGGCAAAACTAGGGACCTATGGTCATACACGTTGCACACAAGTGTGCTTGGTGCTGTACAATACATAAAGGACAATGCAGTCCCTGCCCCAAGAAATTTGCAGTACAGTTCACAAACAATTTTTGGGACTGGAAAGTTCAGTCTTGAAATTACATGTTTTAATATGCCACTTAGTCAAAGACACTGTAGATGAATGTACCTTACAAACCAAAATTTTAAAAATAGGTACCTAAATTGGGCATGTATAAATTAAATGTTAGTAACTAAATTCAGGTGCCAAATAAATTATTACATACACAATCAATTACTTGTGTTCACAGTCACTTGATTTGCACTCAGCTGTGTATTTTGTACTCAAAATGCCTATTTGCATACACCTGCACATATTTTGCGTGGCCAACAATAACAGAATTGAGATATCGGTCTATATATTGCTTGAAAACACATTTTAGCAATAATAATGAGCATGTCACACTTTTAAAGCAGTGTTCAAGCAAAGGGGCTCCTTTGTACCTATATAAACCATAGCCTCTGAACGTGTATATGTGAGTGCCAAAGGCAAAAGGCACTAACACGAGCTCCTGGAGGCACTCTGGTTGTTAGACACCTAAGCAAATAGAAACCTCTGGCGATGCAAGGTGGGAAAGCACCACTGAAGATGGAAGTGTGTGTTTCCTCTCCTCCTTCCTGAAGTGGCTGCAGCCCACCCGCCAGTAGGGTCCTGGCCCTATCTTTTTGGGATGTCTAATACTACTGTGGAACTAACAGACATGTTGTTCTTGTGCTCACAGTAAACCAAGGCCTGGGATCATGGTTTCCTCATGTACAGGTGTGCAAGAGGCAAGGAAGAACTCCTTGAACCAATTCCTGCCCTTATGCATTGGTACAGCAGCACGCACACTGTGACTCTAGAGATATATTCTAAGTCTAATAATTATACTACTTATAGTATTAGTATTTGAATTACATGCAACTGGAAATGCTGAATAACTGTCCAAAGCTGAATTGGAAGATAAAGACAAACTAGAACAACACATGATACTGTCATATGTATTCTATTTGATCACTTATTGCAACAAGTCATTTGCTGGTAATTTCCTAAAGTAATCATAACACATTGTGAAAAAGCATGGCAGAGAGAATATCTGTTTTTGATTAATCTGTAATAGAAGAACTTTGAGTACCAACTGCCAATAATAATCAAAGGCTGTTATTCCCATTTTCTATACAAGCATTTTCCTTTTAGTTTGTTTCTCAATAAAGTGGACTACTGCAGTCTGAAAAAGCTAAAGACTGACACCTAATTTATCCCTGGCTTCAATGTAGTTATACGAGGGATGAATTTGGTCCTGACTGACTTCTTACTTATACCACTGACCTCGAGTGCTAAGGTAATAAATAAGTCTGCATGCTTAGATTCATATTATCCACTATTAATGAAAGTTTGTTGATAATGACAAATTATAGATTTTAAAAACACAGATTGTAGAAGTGAGGCCATTTATTTATAAGGCCTTGCATTTTTCTTCCCTTCCCGACTTCCCCAATCTTATATCTTATCACACTGATCTTTCCAACTCATTGTAATGATCTCAGACAAGCTCTGTAAGGGGATTCTAGTGGGATTTTTCACCTCTGGTGTGTATTTCTATAATAGGGGGTGATCTGGGCAATTGTGAGTTACACAAATTAGTATTAAAATCCCCACTTGGTAGATGACAAAACAAAGACACACAGAGGTCTTGCACAACCCCAAACACTAAGTCACTGGCAGAGTTGGAATTTGCATTTTCAAATCCCATGGGCTAACTATTAAATCACCCCCCATAAAAAGACCACACAACAATAGTTCCCATGGCACTGTTTCATTGTCTAATATCTCACCTCAACAGATTTTACTGACTGTAGAAAATTACACAATACTTACGACTTCTCCTGGATATCCTCTGGGTCCAATGGGTCCTGGAGGACCTTGCAGTCCCTACAGTGTGTGTATATATATTAATTTGAGTTAAAAATCAATATATTTGCAATTATTTTATACTGAATAAAGAATAAAGCACTTTATCCACTATAAGGATATAAACCAGGGGTGGCCAACCTGAGTCTGAGAAGGAGCCAGGATTTACCAATGTACATTGCCAAAGAGCCACAGTAATATGTCAGCAGTCCCCCATCCGCTCCCCCACCCCTGCTCCCAGCGCCTCCCACCCACCGGCAGCCCCGCTGATCAGCGCCTCCCCCTCCCTCCCTGCACCTCCTGATTAGTTGTTTCGTGGCGTGCAGGAGGCTGTGGGCGAGGGGGGGAGGAGCGAGGGCACTGCAGGATCGGGGAGGGGGCAGGAAGGGGTGGAGTGGGAGCAGGGCATGTGGCAGAGCCAGGGGTTGAGCAGCAAGCCCCCCCTGGCCAATTGGAAAGTTGGCGCCTGTAGCTCCAGCCCTGGAGTCGGTGCCTATACAAGGAACCGCATATTAGCTTCTGAAGAGCCGCATGTGGCTCCGGAGCCACAGGTTGGCTACCCCTGACACAAACAAAAGAGCTGCTAAGAATTATTTTCTACCTGGATTAGGGAGCAACTGTAACCCACACACCACCTGGGTGTGGTGCTCTGTCCCCTCTAATGGCACCAAGACCACTTAGAGATTAATGAGTCTGCTCCAGTCTTAGCTAACAGCAATATGGCTTTTAGCTCACGCAGTAGAGGCTCATGCACTAAGCTCCAAAGGTCCCAGGTTTGATCTCGCCCGTCGATGACCAGGGTCTGTCGGTGTTACACAACAGTTACTGCTAGTTCATTCTCCACTGCCCTGATAAGATTTGCATTGTTATGCTTCCCAATGAAATATATAAGAAGTTTCCATATTAATGAGCTAATTTCTCAAAACATGTCCACATAGGGGGCCTGCTTTATGGGCCAGATCATCAATTGTGTAAATCATTGTAGCACTGTTGAAGTCAATGGAGCTATGACATTTGACACCAGCTGAGGATCTGGCCCAGTGTGTCCATAGAAAGAGGATAACAGCTGCTGCTGAAAAGGTTGAAAAAAGAATCCTGCCCATGGGACTATAGGACTCCAACAAGGCCATGTGTGATTGGATGGACCCTAAGCCATTGAACTGGAAAAAAATGAATCAAAGCTTCTTGCTTTAGGATTCTGTGGAAGGAAGGAATGCTCTGTTTGTCATGGTTATAAAGCTTCTACAAGGTGCATATGCATCTGGGGAGGAATTTGAGAGTTTCTTTTCTTAATTATATCACCTGTCCAAGGTCACTGAAGAAGGGTGAGAGGAAGGGGGTTTTAGCTATTAGGGCAGTAGCCACTACTCAGGAGACCCAGGTTCAAGTCCCTGTTCTGCAATAGACTTCCTGTGTGATCTTGGGCAAATCAGCTTGCCTCTCTCTGCTTCAGTTTCCCATCTGTAAAATGGTATTTCCTTATCTCATAGTTTTGTGATGATAAATACATTAAAAATGTGGGCACTTCTATACTATGGCAATGAGAGCCATTTAAGTACCTAGGATAGATAGACTGAACTGTGTCCTTGGGTTGCTGCAGAGGTTTCCTATATCAGTGAACCCAGATCAGCCAGCCAGGTGAGGAATCATGCAGATCTTTCTAAAGGCAGATGAGATGGTGATCATTGTTTTTGTAAGGTCCTGGGGGCTGATGCGAGACCAAAGGAAGCCAGGTATATGGCCTCTACCAAGTGGAGGCAACCAACAATTTACAGAACATTTCCCCTTTCTGAGGATTCTGGGGCAGAAGAGAGAAGGAGAAATGTGACTGAAGATCGGGGGCAGGAGGGGATTTAATGACTTATCACCCAAGAGTCTGAGGAACTCCTGTTTCAGGAGTGAAGGAACACAGATTCTTCTGTCTGATTTGAGGGACAGGAATAGTCAGAAATGGCTCCAGTCGTTTTTCTCTGGACAAAGCTTTGGATCTAGATTCCTGCTTGTGAAAGGAATGCTGAGGTTTGTTCTTAGGTTTCTATTTCACTGAAGATTTCCCCACAAGAAGCTGGGCCTATTCCTCCCTGAGGAAAAGGAGGAAGATGACGGTTTGTGTTTCTCTAGCTGGGAAGAAGGTGTGGAGAGGAAGGCTGTTTCCTCCAAAACCTCCTTCAATGCAGAATCCACTAAATTCCCAATCAGATGGGGACCCTTAAAGATTAAGGGCAAGGAGACAAAACTTGAAGATATCCTCACCTCAGGACCAGATTCAGAAGTGCCAAAAAGATTGGCCTGCAAGTGGACAGAATCTTGAGCCGCACTGAGAATATTTGATAGGGCAATGTGAGAGGTTCCTGTGTACCAGGAAGGGCAGCTTGGAGTCAACAGCATTGATCCCCTGGGTCTCCATGAGCCACAGGGAGTTCAAGAGGCATAGAAAGTGGTAGTGATTTGGATGTTCCCAGTTTAAAAGATTATTTTCATAACTTCTTTCCAGGGGCTCATGAAGGAACACACTGGCCTCCAGAGTTAGGTCTAAGGTCTTAGACTGGGAAATTATGACTAAATCCACGTTTGAGTGGAGCAACCAGAGGCTGTGGAAATCAGAGTCCACATTGTAGAGTCTGAAAAGACCTTTTGGGGCACGGTGAGTGTAGAATCAGAAGAGGTAGGAAACAGAAAAGGCCCTATTCATTCAGGCTATGGTTTCTTCCTGAGTGTCTGAAGCTGAGGATGGCACCAGATTCAGAACCACTTCTGTCCCTGATTGGGCTTGAGTGTGGTGCCTCTGCATGAGCAGTCTGCATGGTACTTAAGTGAGGTGGGAAGGATGGACAGAATGGGCCCATTGCCAAAGGCTGCAGAGGAAAGGCACAGGAGAGGTATTTTTGGCTTTGAGAGGAAGACTCCATTGTACCTACTATTCTACGTGATTACAGTGCTCAGCTGAGGCCTGGAGGAGAGATGGTTCCTCAGCTAAGAAGCACAAGCTATTTCTAGAGAGGCAAGAGAACAACTAGAGAAATCTGTCTGCCTGCACTCTGTGAGGGGGAGGAATTGAGACTGATAGTGTTGCATCCACTCTGGCTACCACCTGGCTGGCTGACAGATGAGGAGGATTTAGAGTAGCAGCCGTGTTAGTCTGTATCCGCAAAAAGAACAGGAGTACTTGTGGCACCTTAGAGACTAACAAATTTATTAGAGCATAAGCTTTCGTGGGCTACAACCCACTTCTTCGGATGAGGAGGACTCACTCATTAGTCTGTATTGGTGATATCCACAATACAAAATGTGTAATTGCACACATAAATAGCCAGACAAAGGATAGAAATAGCAGTGGTCCTAAAAGTTCCTTGCATAATTTTTCCCCAGTGAGTAATGCTGAAATCAACAACAACATTACTAACTAAATGTAAAATAGCTATATTCTGCCTTCAATCTTGTGTAAGTCTCCGTCTGACATCAACCCTGCTATATATTCTGAATAGCATATATTGTATCACCTGCGCCTAACCATAATTAATTTGTAATTTAGCTCCCTACACAGAATAAAATTGACATGCCTGCATAAATATTAGCATCAGAATAGCCTCTTTTTGGTTATTGAGGCCATATTTCAAAAAATGTAATTCCCAAAAAATGCATTCAGACTTTTGCATACACATGTTCTTTGAACACAAATTGCCCATTCTGGCCATAAAATTCAGGGATGTGTGCATGTATAACCCGTTTGTATGTACACAAGAACTTTGGGCATGCAACTCAAGTACACACACTAAAAAAAATTGGCCTGTGCTATATAAAGTGAATGAAATAGCACCCAAAGTCCTTTTACACAACGGCATAATAAGAAGCCACTACACGCTACTTTCAATTTTATAATAAATACTTTAAAATACCTCTGATCCTGGATTTCCAGTGAGTCCAGGAGGACCACGATCTCCTGTTTCACCCTAAAAAGCATAATTTTTCTCAAATAATTTAATGTTATATCCACAAGAGACAGCTGTGTACCAAATAGATATTTTGTATACCAATCAGAAAAATACCTTAATTCCTTGTGATCCCTTCATTCCAATTTCCCCCTGAAAATAATAGATATGATCACAATAAGTTGAAATTTAGACTAAGATTGACTGTGTTGAAGTTACTACACACAGAAATGTTGTCATATTAATTTAGTTAACACAATTTAGCAAATAATGAAAATCTGGTTATTCTTTAAAGAGTTGTTGATGGAAAACTTTGAAAAGGTTTGTCTTTTGAAAAATTCTATTTGCAGTTTCGGGTATGTTGATTTCTCTTCTCATGTTTTATTCCTAAGGATATTTGCATGAAAACAAAATATTTGCTTAAGAACTCTGTTCCTGGTGCTTATTCCTCACTTAATGTCATTACCCTGTTTGTGATATCATATGCCCAAAGCTACTCATTTTTACAGTATATCCTATTCCACATAGGTTCTTATACAGCATTCATCACTATAGTATGTGAGCCTCTTCCTGCAGTGCATTAAGCAATGTGACTAACATTTGTCATATCACAAAGAGAGGATTATGATTTACTGTGAGAAATACAAAACAGCAGATGAAATCTTAAAGAATAAGGATTCTGATTCCTTAAAAACATCTTTAGTAATAAAAAAGTGACATATAAAAATATGGCTATAAGAAGAATTGCCTGCAAATAAAGTTTTTAGAGCTTCCCAAAGAGATGAATGGTTTTTTAATAAAGGCGGTTACATATTTTACGTACTATGCTTGATGTTCAGTGTTAATTGCAGAGTTAATGAAATAGCTGCAGTTTCTCACTAAGATGACTAGTGCATTTGCTAGTGTAATAGTTAGAACTCTGAGGGATAGTTTGCTTGATCTGCTACCTTTAATCTCTACAGCCAAAATCTTATTGACTTCAATAAGAGCAGAATAAGGCCGCTGTTGAGATGTTTAGACTCAGCTACTTCCATCTCAGATCAGCCAGACCTTTCTTGGGATCTACAGTGCCAAGGTCTACTCTGTGGTGACCGTGCACCTTGTATTTAAAGTGCCAAAAATTCATCCCAGAAATAGCTTCACAGAAGAAATCAGAGAGAGGCCAAGGACAGATTTAGCCCAAGGACTGCAAGCACTGAGATTCTAGCTGCCCTCATGCCAGGGACGGCTCTATGGTTTTTGCCTCCCCAAGCACGGCAGTCAGGCGGCCTTCAGTCATGCGGATTCGGCGGCGTTTCTGCGGGTGATTTGCCGGTCCCGTGCCTTCGCCGTACCCGCCGCCGAATTGCCACCAAAGCCGCGGGACCGGCGGACCTCCCTCAGGCATACCGCCAAAGACTGCCTGTCTGCCGCCCTCACAGCGCTGCGCTGGTGCCTGGAGCCGCCCCTGCCTCATGCAAATGTACAAGAAAGGGAAAGGTTCCTTTTTGCCCAAGCCTCTCTCTGAGTTTGAAGAGCTGGCAGTTGGAAATGCCGACTTTTTACTGGTAAACTGAGTGAATTTGATATGTCCATAATCGAGAGGCAATAAACATGGAACCCCATGATGCCATTTTTATAGTCAAGTTTCGGAACATTTGGCATGAAACCTATTAAAATGTACAAAAAAAATTATTACAGAATGTAAATGTGACAGGATCCCCGGGTGCAGCCTGGGGGTTAAGGCCCCCTTAACTATCCAGCCTGGGCTGTCTCTCACAATGCCTTGCTAGTGACAAACAACAAACCCCTGCAGGTGCTGTTATCACTCAGCACAACCACATATGGAGCCCCACACCCAGCTAGATTGCATGAATACTCCCAGAGCCACTCATGAATCACACAGAGAAAGGCACCAGCCAAATCCCCCCAGCTCCCAGCACTGTACCTCAGGAATATACCGTCTTGCACTGCTCAAGATGAGCAATTTATTAATTGGTTCATTACTTCATCAGTGGAAAGTGGATATACACCAGCCTTTGTAAAACTGAACAAATTTACCAAACACTTTGGGCAAACTCACCAATAAAGATAAACAGTTAAACAAATTTATTGACTACAAAAGACAGATTTTAAGTGATTATAAGTGATAGGCAACGAGTCAGAGTGGTTACCAAAAGAAAAGAAAATATAAGCGCTCAGTCAAAACTCTCAACCCTATTAGACTGAGTAACATCTAGATTAGCAGTTTTTCTAAACCCACTGGATACTGCAGTTCATAGTACACAGGATTCACCCTTTAAACCTGTGCCACTCCCCTCTGTTGGAGTCTTCAGTCTTCTGAGTGGCCTTGTTGCTTGCTGCATAGGTGGAGGCAGGGGAAAGGCAAAGCAGTGGGGCCACTGTGTTCTGATTTATAACTTTAGTCCATGTGCTTGGAGAACACAAGTCCAGGCATGTCTGGTGGGCACTGCTGAGTCACAAGTTGAAGCAATACCCTGGTGTGTCTACTGTGAGTGAGTCATTGAATTGTAATTCCTCTGATGGACAATGGCTGGTGATGTCTGTTCAGCACCCACCCAGGCATTGGTTACCTCCATTGTCATTGTCTCTGGAAAGCTAGTATCTGGGTGCTTCCCAAACCCACAGCGTATTTTAGTGAAAACTATCCAACACAATTCTTATAATTTTATATGCATTAATGATACACGTGTTTAGATGGAACAATGGGTTTCAGCATATCATAACCTTTCCCCGATACCTCACATGGGATGCTTTATATGCAATATCACAATTATTTATAGATGAGGAATATAGGGGTTACAGGGCGTTGCCAGAGGTAAGAGTGTCACAGGAAATATGGTGAGAAAATCAGATCTAAGCATAAACATTAACTCAAAGCTTTAGCTGTACTTACTGGATCCCCTTTTTCTCCTTTTTCAGAAGACTCTCCCTGTGATAGTATACAGTAAATGTTAATACTTACATGATAATTTTAAGTGACAAATAGTTTGTATGTCTGCTTTTGGAAAACAACTCTTCAAAACATATAGAAAACAAACTAACAGTTATATGTATTCAATACATACAAACAACTTTATAAGATATATAAACTATGAAAGCCCACTTAATGATTACATTAATTTAATTTTAAAGAATATGGACAGATAATAAAATGGGATTCTACCCAAGTTCGTTTCTTTTATGTCTGGGTCACGTATTATATATTACACGTAATCATAAGCAGAAAGCTTTCAAACCTGGGTCTACACATCATCATGCTCCAACTTTCCACCTGACTTACTAGCATTAGCTAGAACTGGGACTCCTTGAAGCCCAACTCAGATAGACGGCTCCACCCCTGGGCCCCAACTGGTGGGACATACTGAAGGCATGAGGAGGAGCAGGAAGTTGTCAGTACAACTGGGCTTCATTCTGCTTTGGACTGCTTACCCTGTACTACCTGCTCTTGACTTTCTGGTTTCCTGACTTGGCCTGATTCCTGGTTCTGGATCTCCATCTCTTCTCCTGACCCTGACCTCCTGGTTTCCTGACTCAGGCTGATTCCTGGTATCAGTCTCTCTGTTACTGACCTCCTGGTTCTGAACCCTGGGTGGCATGGGGACCTGGCCACTTGCCTTGTACTAACCAGCAGGCCTGTCTGCCTATGTCCTGGGCCTAACACAGGATCAGAAACAGATATCAGAAAGTGATGACTGAAATAGTGTAAAAATATGAGTTAAATTCTCAAAAGCAAATGACTTTTAATACACAAAACCATGATTCTTTCAAATTAACAGCCTAAACTAGATTTCTGTTTGTATGAAGATCATTTACAGTACAAGGTTTTAACAAGAACTAGTTGATCCTCTAACATTCTGGGGCCTTACAATACTTCAATTTAAATCACTAGCAAAACTCCTATTGATTCAATGGAAGCATGACTGAACTTTTTGCTATTTCTAGAAAAATGCGGTTTACATCTTTTCACCAGTACTGAAAAAATTGTTTCGGCTGAATCTGCTGTTGGAAAGCTTCAACTAAAACTAAAAGATGATTAACTAGCAAAGTCTTTTTCTAAACTTTGATCATGCTAAGAAAGCTATTTTTTTCATCTAGGTATTGAAGATGGTACTTCTTCACACAATGCACAGTCAACTTGTGGAACTTGTTGCTAGGGGATGTTATGAAGGCCAAAAGTGTAACTGGGTTCAAAAAAGAATTAGATAAGTTCCTAGAGGATAGGTCCATCAATAGCTATTAGTCAAGATAGTCAAGGATGCAACCCCATATTCTGGATGTCCCTAACCTCTAACTGCCAGAAGCTGGGACTGGATGACAGGGGATGGATCACTCAATAATTGCCCTGTTTTGTTCATTCCCTCTGAAGCATCTGGCATTGGTCACTGTCAGAAGATTTGATATTGAGTTAGATAGACCATTGATCTGACCCACTATGGCCATTCTTATGTTCCTAATTTAAGAGAAAGTAAAAGAATATTGTTATTTTAATCAGCAATCAATATTTCATTGTTTGAGATACTTGCTTTCTTTTGAGGTTTTAGGTACCTACTGGTTGTGCCTAGGTCTGTGGTGTTTTGGAAATTCATGCATCTTGAAATCAGGAAGCAGAGAAGCACACAAAAAATAAAGAGGCAAAGCAAAAAATGGACTAACCTTTTTCAAAGTGTAAAGAAGATTAATTTCATATAGGGCTTTTTTATGGCCAGCAGCTTTTGTCTTATTTTATGCTAGCAGGTCTGCCCATCTCTAAATTATAGACTCTATCCTGATCCATCACCATCAGAAAGGAAAGCCCAAAAGGACCAGAAATGTTGCAATGTCACCATGCTGGTAAGCAATGCAGCAGAGAAAGCATTCAGAGGACTCCGCACACGACAGATCAGCAGTATCCAGGGCTACATACAATGAGTATATGAAAAACTCAGCAATGACTGGACAACTCATTCAGCAGCTCATCCCTATTCAGCAACCTACTTAAGCACATACTTTAAGTTGGATGGGATTTAAGTATGCAGTTGGGACACAGCTTCAATACACCAGGGTTAAACCCAGCTTTGGTGCTGAGCCCTGTCCATTAGTCACCCACATGCCCAACAGCCATGACCACCCTGCAGAGACATCCAGGCCAGAAAACAAAATGTAGGTTGTGAGGATGCTGGGCCCAAAGTCTACCATTGGAGCTTATTTTTCTGTGCCCACAGTTCTTCTACTTGACCTTTCCTCTTTTTCAAGGATTTGGCCCAATAAAAATAAACCACACTTAGCCATCTTAGCCATCACATCTAAGAATATGAATTAGGAATTATTATTTACCTTTTCACCTTTTGCACCAGTTAAGCCCATTTCTCCTTGCCGACCCTTTTAAGAAAATAAAAAAACTATTGACAATCTTTGTCCTTTTTAATTCTGACAAATGAAAAGAATCTTCCCCATCCAGCTGCTCCTTGCACTGAATGTTGCATGAAATCTTGTTAATCATCATAACTGAAATGTGTGATTTAACCAGCTTCAACTGAATTTAAGTTATTGTCTTCTGCTGGAGAGAAGAAAATTCTACATGCTACTCAAAATCAAACACTTGGCAACACTACGATACATCTAGTGTGTCTTTTCTCTTTTCTCCTCAGACCAACAGTACATCAAATTGGCAAATATATATTCCATTATTTAAAATACATAGATGCTTTCTGTCAAAAAGTTTGGACCCAACATTTGACCATTTAATTTGCTATAAACTGCTTGGGAATGACCTGCACCTTTTAAATACTTTTGGTGTAACAAACCCTGTCACTTTATTAAAGAGAATTTTTTTAAATACCCACTATTTGCTAGTGCTATCAAAAATATTTTTGAGCTCCCCTTGCTGGTTCAATAGATAATATTATGTATGCACATATTCCAAACACTATTTCCTTTTGCTCGCCTAAAAACACAGAAAAAATATTTTTCACTCTTCCCCCTGCCCAATTCAGACCTAAAAAATGTAGGTTACACTAAAAGAAGACATAATATTTTCAGAGTTCTAAAAGAGCATTACAATGGTACAAACTATCATAATTTCATCGCAAGTCACACAATTTTGGCCCCTGCTTGAGCCAGTCTTAAGATGACATGAGAATTTCAGCCCTATTGGGGAAAAATCCTCTGACAGGCTGTATTCCCCACTTCCCTGCCTCCTGGAGAGAAGACAATCAGGGCTGCTGCAGGAACCAGGCAGAGCTCGCTCCCCACCCTTAAGAGTTGAGTTTTTGGGTAGGTGAGGTGGAGAGGGACCAGCTGACATTTCACAGAGGGGAAGGGGAAAAGAAAGAGCCCAGCAATCTTCCTTCTCTGCTCTCCTGTTAAAAATGGGTAATCTCCCCTGTGTGCTCCTACACACGCCCTACAACACCAGATCTGGGAAGTGGGAGGAGGGCATGAATAAACTCTGGAACTAATTCCCACACCCAGGCCTGGGAAGACAAAGAGGAAACCCCCTGTAGCCTCCCCCCCAGATCTGAGAAATGGGGTGAAGAACCACTGAAGCTGCAAGAGCAGAGGTGCAGTTGGGGGCCAGAAATGCTGTGACAGTTGCAGGGGAATGTATAATTAATTGCTGGGCTGGGTGATGGGCAGATGTGGGGCTGTAGAGGAACAGAATTAATTAGAATTTTGGAGCTTGGGGAGAAGCTTGATGATCCGCACAATCATGCAGCATTTTATAAAAATCTTTGTAATTTGATCTCATGTGGGTCCCCCAGTGAGACCTTCTGCAGCAGCTTACTCTATATATTTGAGAGAAGTGCCAACACTGAAATTGTCACACAAACATTGGGGGGTGTTCAAAAATCAAAAGGTCAAAAACATGAGATCATCTCTTAAAACAAAATCTTATTATTTAGGAGGGGGATTGACTCATGATTTTTGAACTTTTGGGTTGGATATAACTGCATTTCAAACAGTGGAGATTAAAAATATTGTAATGAACCTACTGGCTCATTACTGAGCACTGTGTTAACCTCCAATTCAACATTCAGCAAGTAGAGGGCTCCATAATCCCTCCAGTACAGTAGAAGGAAGCACTGCCAGAAAAGGACCTAGCTGGGGGGGGGGGGGGGGGGGGACAAGAGGCTGCATGATGACTGCAGTAGCAGGCTGGAGGCAGCAGCCTAACACTGGTTGTGGAGAGAAGCCTAATGCTGGTTGGAAAGGCTGTGAGCCAGGCTGGGAAGAATCCTGTCACAGGGAGTCCATGGCTAGCTGTGACAGACAGATACTTAGAAGCAGCCTGCAAACAGCTGAGCCACATGCATGGGTCTGAAGATGACAGATGAAGAAACATAATTCTGGCTGTGGGATCTCCAGGCCAGTGCATAACTGACTCCTGCAGGGAGTAACCCTGGCACTGGACCTGAGGTCACTGACCTTCATACCACTTTACAAAACTACCCTTAGGGGTTGGATTAAGAACTGTTGTATGCTAAATTTCTCTCTTTTAATTTGGAACCATTAAAACCTAGATGCCTAGGGAAAATGCAGTATTTATTTCTGGCAGCCCTCGTAATGCAATTCTTTGTTATTCATCATACTATATGAGTATGTTTGGGTAGAGATGGGCAAATAACTGATTTTTCAGTTCACTGGCGGTTAAAAAAATCAGTTTGAACTTAACCAGAATATTCTGAAAAATTGTGGCGAATTAAACAAGTAGGTGAAAAACTAGATTTGGGTGAACAAATCATTTTTTTAAACTATTTAGTTTCCAGACATTTTTTAATGTAAAAGCAAAAAAAGTGAAGGAGAAGATGGTGGTCCCCCCCATGTTATAATTGTTATAATTGTTAGCACACTAGCTAGGGAACTGGGAGACTCAGGTTTAATTCTCCCCTCTGCGGAGAAGGGATTTGAATTTGGGTCTTTCACATTATAGAAGCATACCTTAGCTCAGGGGTCGGCAACCTTTCAGAAGTGGTGTGCCGAGACTTCATTTATTCACTCTAATTAAAGGATTCGCGTGCCAGTAATACATTTTAATGTTTTTAGAAGGTCTCTTTCTATAAGTCTATAATATATAGCTAAACTATTGTTGTATGTAAAGTAAATAAGGTTTTTAAAATGTTTAAGAAGCTTCATTTAAAATTAAATTAAAATGCAGAGCCCCCCGGACCGGTGGCCAGAAGTATGAGTGCCACTGAAAATCAGCTCGCGTGCCATAGATTGCCTACCCCTGCCTTAGCTATTGGACTATTCTGATGTGTGTTTTTCTCAATCTCTCCTATTCAAGCAGGTCCACCGTGTATAAGTAATTAAAACATCATTGGCAGAGGGACATCAAGTTGGGTCTCCCACACTACAAGACTGTGCTCTAACCCCTGTCCTATAGCATAGTCTTGGGCAGCTCTTTCTCAGTCTCTCCCATTGAAGCTGCTCCACTTTGTATAAAATACCTGAATAGTCATTGGACCAGCAAGAGAAAATGACAATGACCCTAGCTGTCAAGGCACTCATCTAGGAGGTAGAGAACCAAGTTCACGGTCCCTGCTCCACTGACTCTTTCATTATTTATACACAGCAGAACAGCTTGACCAGAAGACATTGAGAAAAACCCACTCCAGAAGGTCCCATAGCCCGGTGGCTAGGGCACCATTCTACAATGTAGCAAACCAAAGTGCAAATCCCTTATCCAGCAGAAGGGGAATTGAACCCAGGTCCCCCACATCCTGAGTGAGTGCCCTAACGTGTGGGCTAGAAGCTGCAACATGCACACACACAAAAATCTGTTTTGTGAATGGTGTCTAAGTTCCACCCCACCTGCCTCCCAAATTTTTATTTGGCTACTTTGTGTCAAATTTCAAATAGATGTGGGTGATCAAAACTGCATTTGCCAGTGAATTAACTATTTCTCTGAAAATGTCACCCTCTTCTATTTGTGGGAACCACCAAGAGCTGGAGCCTGAAAGGCCTAACACTTGGAGTGCCTACAGTACTTGCCTCTGAGCCAGGGCCGGCTCCAGGCACCAGCCCACCAAGCTTGTGCTTGGGGCGGCACCTGGAGGGGGACGGCGCGGCGCTCCAGCCATCGGGGAGAGCGGGGCCACGGCCGGGGCTCGCCGCCCTCCACCCAGGGCTCCGGCCGCCCTCCCCCCCGGCGCCCTCCCCCCGGCTGCCGGGGGGAGAGCGGAGCCCCCGCCAGGGCTCGCCGCCCTCCTCCCAGGGCTCCGGCCGCCCTCCCCCCCCAGCGCCCTCCCCCCGGCCGCCGGGGGGAGAGTGGAGCCCCCGCCAGGGCTCGCCGCCCTCCCCCCGGGGCTCTGGCCGCCCTTCCCCCCCCCCCGCTGTGGGGGGCGGCCGGAGGCTTTTTTGCCTGCGGCAGCCCTGCTCTGAGCACATGGTACACCCAAATCACTGCCAAACATCTCTGGGACTGGTGTACCATAGCATTCACAGCACTTTCCTGTAGGTTAGACATACTGTAGATGAGTGTCCTTTCAAATGATAAAAATGATTTTTCACTACAAAAAGGAAAATTCAACTACATTAAAGAGGTATAAGTCTAAAACTAATTGAATAAAAGAGTCAACCTGTGTAATTCACTTCCATAAGAGTCTGTTGGGACAATTCGTAAGGCTGAAATGAACAAAGGAGTGGATACATACCTGACTGGTTAAATAGCTGGTGCCATGCAAGCTAAGATGATTAAATGAGTAATTATGTGTCTAGTTTCAGGGCATGAGATGAGCACTTCACATGGTCACTAAGGAATTTTTTCCCAGTATAATATTACACAAATATATAAATATGTTATTTTTTTCTCTTCTTCCTTTCTCTCACTGGCCAGTGACCAAAGGCCTGATCAAGTATGTAATCCGCTCCTCCTAAGGAAACTGTGACAAACCAGATGAATGAGACTACAGGTAAACTTAGCAGTGACAAGCTGGTTGTTATTTTGCAATTCCTTATGCCCTTATATCTCAGATGCTTACAATTTCTCCCTTTTGTCCTTTATGTCCAGCAGCCTCAGGTAATCCTAGTTGTCCTGCAACACCCTGTGAAGAATTGCAAGTGAAAGAATATAATAAATATAATATAAAATATTATAATAAATATAATATGTAGTTACCACAATTTTGCAATATTAGGTCCTATGTTGATATGTTATTTTCTGTGTAAATGCAAACATCCTAATTCAGCATCAAACAGAGGGGGTAAGATAACCTGTGCACTACATCAAAGTTATGTGGCACAAGAATGTATTCTTCTCCATGCGGGAGATATTCATATTCCATTCAACTAATGGGAGTTCTACATCTATAGAGAGAGCAAAATATCCATGTTGAGTACTGCTGTGTAGATCTGAGAAGAGAATTTTGTCTTAAATCATTGGAAAGAACATTATTTTTATGATCATTATCACAGTACATTTCTTAAGTGTGAGAGAAAGGAACAACAACAAAAAATCCCTCTTCTAATATGAACAAGCACCTCAAGAAATATTCATTTTAGTTTTGAACAGCATGAAGACACAGATAAAGAAAGAGATGAATTGATATTAGTGACAGTATATTCCCACTGTTCCTCAGAATAAGCAAACTGACTGAAGCAATTTGGCTTCAAATTTTATTTTTATTGAGACTACTTATTGTACTGTGTGTATCTACCCTTTTGCAGAAGGCCTGTACATATTAAATATATAATACATGGCTTTTTGCTTTAATTTTACATAGGGAAGACCTGGTAAAAAATGAAGTAGGTATGTGCAGTGGAGGCAATGTGACCTAGTGGCTAGCTGGGTGACCATGGGTAAGTAACTTTACCTCTGTGTGCCTTGGTTTCCCCATGTGTAAAATGGAAATAATGATGTAAAATGTTTTGAGACCTACTAATAACAAGTGCTAAATAGATATTATTATTAACAATAATAAAGGAGATAAAATAACAAAATATAAATTTCAGTCAGATTCCTATTGATTTTGTAAAGGTATTTCTTTATCTCTTGATGGCTTTTTGTTCAATTTCTAGGGCATTTCAGCAGTTAATCTACATGAGTCTTCATCCGTCTGCTGGCTACCAACTAATATTAGGATTAGTTGCAGAGGCAGCTTAATGACGACTGCTGAGTAGCAGTTGACTTGATAAAGAGAACAAACCAGAGACAAATGGTCTGACGAAGTGGGTATTCACCCACGAAAGCTTATGCTCCAATACATCTGTTAGTCTTAAAGGTGCCACAGGACTCTTTCTTGCTTTTTACAGATCCAGACTAACACGGCTACCCCTCTGATACCAGAGACAAATAGTTACTATAGACTGAATATAGATAGTTATTGTTTGTATTGAGATGTGCCTTGAATGTATATGTATGGAAAAAATTTAAAACATCTTTTGGGAAAGATAATATTAGATCAACCAGCTGTATTTTTATATATTATTTGAATATCCACATATAAATCATTCTTTGTTAATTTTTTAAGATGCAAGAAAATATTTAGAAGAAGAAAATAGTGATAGAAAGTAGCAATAGATTATTCAAGAATTAAAGCAAACATTGGAAAAATGTTCTAAAACAGTTTATGTATATACTTTCAGTCACTTTCCACTGTGCTTTAAATTATTATCTTCCAACACCTGTGACCTGATTGAGTCCCACAAAGCTGACTTTTCTGCCCAAAGTAAGGATGTTTGTAAGCAGATTTGATTTTAAAACTGAAGTGACCTTATATTTATATACATTGAAATAATGATAAACCACAAATCAAAGGCCAAATTCTGCACTCACTTAAACCCACTAAAACCATACTGAAGTCAGTAGAATTGCACATGGTGTAGGCACAGAATAAGCCTTGACTATGTAGAGAAATAGGTAGAGATGAGTGGTTATTAAATTATGACAGGTCTTCAATGGTATCTGTCCGTGCCACCTCCTTATTTGTCTTATGGGGACCACAATATTTGTCATAATTCCTAGAAATGCCACTTTAAATAAACCATGCAAATATCATCAGAAAAGACTGATACTAAGGACTTCACAAGAGTTTCCTCCAAGGAAAACCACTGAAAAAAAAATTTCAGTGAGAACTTGAGAGAGCCTTGAGAGGCCATATAAAATCAAGGAAATTGGCATTCCATTGTTACCTGTTCAGTCTTGCATCTGAAGAAGTGAGGTTCTTACCCACGAAAGCTTATGCTCCCAATACTTCTGTTAGTCTCAAAGATGCCACAGGACCCTCTGTTGCTTTTTACAGATTCAGACTAACACGGCTACCCCTCTGATACTGTACAGAAGGGAATCTCATAACCCACAGAACATCACAGAACATATTATCTTGCATTTATATAAAGCTTTTCATCTTACAGACACTTTACAAATGATGTATTGTCAGTAAAGGGATTTGGCACCTCCCAGGTGTAGTGGAGTGCCCAGCCAGCATTCACCACATTATATAACAGTGTGAGAAAGCAGAAATTTAGATCAAGGATACAGGAACAAACCCCTACTTGTGAGAATAGCTCAATGGGATTTTTTAATGTCCACGAAGAGCAGAGAGGTTCTCATAAATATTCCTCTACCCTAAACTACACAGAACTTAATTTATCTGCTTCAGTGGTTGAAAGGCATGGATCAGCCCTGCTGAGATTTAAACCTGTGGCTCCAGAGAGTCTGGGTATTTAAAACGTGATGTTTAGACTAGTAAACCATCTCTGCTATCATAGTAAATACTAAACTTAGCACTCCCTTGCTGAAAAGTTACTTGCTTGTGAATAAGTCATTAAACTCTTCACACTGGACAGCTGAAGGAAGGAGTAATTTGGTGCTCTGTAAAGGATTTAAAAGATGATTAATTTCTTGAAACAAACAGCTGGCCTATATTTTGCCAGAATACATTAATTGGGAAACATAAGATGCTCTAGGAACCCTTAGAGCCTCACGATGGTGAGAAACATGACTCCTGTAGACAGATGCATATCAAATCCTGAGGACCTCCACTGTTGCTTTAGAATTAATCTTAAATAGTGTGGATTCAAAGAGAGCCGTTGGAATGTAAAAAAGGAAGATGTCAAATAGCCCGGAAGTAGAGAAGTAGCTTCGAGAAAAAAGCTGTAGACAAGGAAAATACTTGATATTAACAGAAATTACTTTTTGGCAAGAAAAATAAATTGCTAAGGTGATCAGATATACACATGCACAGGAAGGTGACAGACCAAGCATAGAGACTGAGGCTACGTCTTCACTACGGGGGGGGGGGTCGATTTAAGATACGCAAATTCAGCTACGCGAATAGCGTAGCTGAATTCGACGTATCGCAGCCGACTTACCCCGCTGTAAGGACGGTGGCAAAATCGACCTCCGCGGCTTCCCGTCGACGGCTCTTACTCCCACCTTTGCTGGTGGAGTAAGAGCGTCGATTCGGGGATCGATTGTCGCGTCCCAACGGGACGCGATAAATCAATCCCCGAGAGGTCGATTTCTACCCGCCGATTCAGGCGGGTAGTGTAGACCTAGCCTAAGGCTCTGAATCTGGAAAACATCTCTCCTCAGGACAGCAAATAAGCATGTGCATAAGTCCCAGTAAAGTCAATGTCCTGAATTGAGGCTTATATCCAAAAGGAACTTATGGAATGAGTCAACTCACTGGAATATATCATGGAATTGGTTGCATTTCACATATATCTTCTGTGCCATAAATATTGATGAAATCATTTAAACATTCTGTAGTTCTCTCCACCGAGAAGGAAAATTTATAAATTTGGTAAAAAACCTTGTGAGCATTCAGAAGCTTTTTAAAGTCAGAGTTCTGACATTCAGTAGGACAGGTTGCATTAGAAAAATATGAACTATGAAAATATAGGAAGTGATATATCTGATCTTAGATTTTAAAGCCCAAAGGAACTTTTATAATATAATTTGACCTCCTGCACTGAATTCACCCAGTAATTTCTGCATCAAGCCCATATCATATATCTCATTATATATATATATGATATATTATATTAAATGAGCTCATTTACATGTGTATTTGAAGGTTTTCTATATAGACCTAATTTATTTCTTACTGTAAATTTTACTCACCTTAAATGAAACAGAGCTTGGAAAATCTTGTATTAAGGTTTAGCAGCTTACAGTGACAGAAAACTGAACTCAAGGCCAAGTCATATTTCCTAATTACAACAGACTGCAGAACTACAGAAAAAATCTCTGGTAAGGATTTAAAGGAATGACTGACAGTATTGTCAAAGTAATTTGAACTTTTATCTGCTAGGTGTAGGAGGAAAGATTAAATGAAGTCCATATAATCTAGAGGTACTGCAATAAAAATGTAGAACTTTAGAGAAGGCTGTTTGGGAATCAGAAATGACGAGGGACATAAAAAATGTGACAATATATTTGGATTCCAACACTGCAAAATACTTGAAATACTCTAGACAGCAAGGTTCAGATATTCAAAGTAGCCATTAGGTTTTTACAGAAAACATTTCTTTAAATCCCTTAAATAGCTTTGCAAATATCAACCCAAGTTTGTAACTTTCCATTCTATTCATCACAGGTCAGATTAAGAAACAAGAATTTAAAGTGAAGTCTTTGAGGATAAAAAAGGAATTAATAATCTGTCTTTGGGAAGGTTAAACCTCTGAGTTTTGTAAACCATGGGACAGCTTTTGAGAAGTAATATGTATATAGCCCCCAGATTTGTAATTTCTTAAAGTTCTGCATTCTTTTTCCAAGATTGTGGATTCAGACAGGAAGAAACATATTTTTCAACTCAGGCTGATAGAAAATAGGTATCATTATTCAAACTAAGAAAATTAAACCCATCTCTTATATAGTGCTTTTCATCCGTAGATCTCATAGCGCTTTACAAAGGACTGATCAAAAGATATCAAAGAGGAATACCAATGAGGAATATATAAGTAGGGGAGAAAAATTAGCACTCCTGCAATGCTTCCTTCTCACCTTATTTATCTAATAACTTTAAAATATGAGAGCTCTGTCTCTTTAAGAGGCTTTACTGAGTTTTCGCTTCTATGGCTATTCATGGAAGTTTATGAA